GTACTAGGCTGCGCCCGAAACCACATAGTGCTATACCATTCACATTATATTAATGAATGCACAGCTAATGATAGTGTTCTATTCATTATTAAGTCAATTTCAGGCCAACCATTATCGTCTACAGAATTATTGTGATCCAAATTCAGTTATGAAGTACCACATGTGAGTGAAGGGTGCCAAAGTGCAAACTAGCACTTCGGCACCATTCTTCTGGATGAGCGCATCCATTTTACCCTCATTTAATATCTCAATTTGGCAATATTTTGGTTCCCAACCAAACCGACATGGAGAACCACTGGATGTGAAGAGTTAATTTAAACAAAAATCATGTGGCACTTAACAGAGAACGAAAGAACAATAATACATGTCATCAATTAGCAAAGGTGGTTATACTACCAGTTTGCAAGCACATCTCACTATACATTAACCAGCTCAGTATGATAAACTGTGTCTGGTCTGTAGCGAAGGAGAGGGTCCATCAAATTGACCAACTGCCAACCAACCTGCTTTGTTTTCATGTACCCCAGTATTCTCTGCCAGACGGAATGTCTACATTCTAATATGTGTAAATAATGGGGAACTTTAATTCTACATGAGTAAATGGTTGAGATGTAAACACAGTCCTTTAGAGTGGTTTGATGTGAAATGCTCCATTCTAAAGAAACTCACCTATTCAGAGTTGTTCACAGTAGTGGTGATAGGAACCAGATATCTGAAGAGTTTACCGCCTCTAAAGACTCCCTCTCAGAGACAGTATCACATGAAATGGTTCGATATACACGGCCTGATGTCTGACACGTTGTTTTATGATAGTTTTGTGGTAAGGTTTTGGCTTAAAATTTACTTTAATCCATTTATTTCAATCCTTTTATGGTGGAGGGGTACATGCAGAGTTTTTCAGATTTATAACTATTATACCATCATCAACAACACTCGGGAAGGCATGTGTAGGTTCACTGGTGGTTTTGGAAAATATAAAATAAAATGACTACAGCTGTGTTGTAGACATTGCAACCTTTGGTTCCTGTCACCGCCACTGGAAAGAAATCCGAGTCTGTACGCTTCTCTGAAATGTACAATCTCCCATCAAACCACTCCGAATGACTCTGTTTACATCTCACGGATTAAATTATTCAATGCCCCTTTAATTAGTTAATGTTTTGTTTATATACTCTTTGTAGAAGTGCAGTCTTTTCTACTGTATGCATTTGTCCACTGTCCACAGATTAAAATGATTGTACAAAAAGGATGGTAATCACCTGGCACTTGACACAGAATAAAAGAACAATCATTCGCATAATACTAGCAGGTATTTCAATTATCACGATATTCAACTATGCCAATTATCAATCCAAGGCGACTGCTTAGAACGCTAGTATGCGGTTTGGGACGCAGCCTACTGTGATGGAGTGACCTACCCCAGAAACACGCAAAGGAGCCTCCACTCTACGACCCGTTTTGCATTTTGTCGAATTACTTTGCAAAGCCTTAATGTGACACAACTAGGCTAAGCTAACGGGGGGATGCATTGTTTGCACTAGCAAATGAAGCAGAACTTTGTCCTTTAGGAAGCTGGTAATGTGGCAAATCAGCCTTTTAACCCAGGGATGGGGTTCAAGGTGCTAATCAAAGCTAAAGAAAGATGAGTGCTGCTGTTTGCTTCCAGTGTAACGATTTGTCAGCAAGCCAGAAAGCTCAAGGAGACAACATGATGATGCAGGCTTCTTCTCCGGCCTATCTAATGGAAGCCCAGAGCCATCCGTAGAAGCTGACAGTGGACATGGCTTCGTTACTAGGTCACACTTTTCTCAGCCATGCCCTTTGTGATCACGAAGCTGAAGTCCGCTTCTGATTCGCCAGCTTCTTGTTCGACTTTTCCCGTTCCACCTTAAATGGTGCGGCAGTTTCATGCCGGAGCCTCAGGCGCCAGAATGTAACTGCTGCACGATTTAAGGTGGAACGGGAAAATTCGAACCAGAAGCCGTGAACTTCAGTCTCATTTTGTGATATATGTTTCCATACAGGCTGAGGTAAAATGCGTCAGCATCGTTTGGGCTAATACGTGTCAAAAACAGGCTGAAAGCGCTACAATAGACGTTACTGAGATTCACAGTTAATCTCAAACAGCACAGACCAAGCGCACAAAGATCCTCATTTTGTGGGTCATTTGTGATGCACAGACCCCACCAGCCTACATTCTGCAGTCTCCGTGTTCAGTGTAATGCATTAGACCCTGGCCTTGTCCCCGTGCACACACCCCGGCCTGCCTGAAAGCAGCCGAGCAAAAAGTAAAAACAGATGTTTCGTCGATCGATGCCGATGCCTGTCGATGCCTCTGCGGGCGTTGCTATGTTGCAATGACAGCTATTATTGTGGGCACAGCGGCAGTGATGGCAAACAGGATATGTATGGGCAAGCTGGTGCAAATTAGAGGACATTCTCAAGCTACGATCAAGATTATGATATACTCCTAAACCCACGTCGATATTTCCCCGGCTCGGAAGACAATAGAAGGATTATGAAGCCCTAACCCCACCAATGAGGGAGAATGCAGTCCCCAGGATTTACCTTTGAACAAGAAATCGTATTCATCGTCCCTGTTGCCCATGTTCCAGAAGACCGCGGCGAGCCTGAGTCCGAGGAGAAGCACGCAAGGCTGCGGACCTCGTATCGAGTGCTGGGGAAAGAGGTGTGAGGGGGAAAAATAAAGTTAAATGGGAAAGACAATGCGCCAGTGCTGGCTGTCACATAGAGCTGACCGCAGGAAGAGGGATCTCTCGGCTCTGCAGAAGGGGAGGAGTCCCGGGGAATGATTCCCATACCGTCCGCTAGAGGGCGCCGAACACGCCGCCACAGTGATGCAATGAGCCCCGCTGACAGGAAAGGGGAAGCAGCAGTGCTGCTGTTATGCCAACCTTTATTTGCATGTTTTCTTATTTATACTCACTGTTAGGCAAAATACACTGACAAAGTAGTGATGGCTGAATATTGAACACACTGTCTCAGATGATTACCATAGATAAAAAGTAACATATTCAGGATACATTTTTACAGTACATCTTGGTAAGGCACATGGTATTTTTTTTTTTTTCTTGTTCTATTTTTTAAAGTTAATTCACACTGTTCCTCGCTGTTACTGGTTGGCAGTGTTGCTCACGTAATTATGTTTTTTATCATTTAAATGAAGTTCTGAAAATTCTTAACTTTTTTTTTCTCACCTCCTGTTTCAGTCCACTGCTGCTCCTACAATCCCCCAAGCAGGAGTCCAGTACAACACCAATGCTACACTTATCACTTGTGAACATGCCCACTACTGAGGAGGTTATTAGTTTGATCATCCCTCAAAAGTGCTCACTAACACTGATATTAATAACTGGCTCTTCACAGTGATTTATCAGTTTGATCAGGCCTTAGCAGAGCTCAGTAACGCTGGGATAAACAACTGATCATCATGTTGATTTATCAGTCTACTCAGGCTTTAGCAGAGCTCAATAACACTGAGGCAAATAACTGGCTCATCACAGTGATTTATCAGTCTACTCAGGCTTTAGTAGGAACTTCAGTGTAAAGAAGCCATTAGTTGAGATCTTTAGAATTTTTTTGACGAGCACGTTTGCTACTTGCCATGCACTGATACTGAAATAATAAACAAGCATGGATTGTGTTTCTCTTTCTTTTATCCTAAAAATAAAAAAGTAACTGTATTCTGAATACTGCCTTAACAAAATGTAACTTGGACTGAATATAGATACTTACACCGATCAGGCATAACATTATGACCATATCCTTTTTTCTACGCTCATTGTCCATTTTATCAGCTCCACTTACTATATAGGTGCCCTTTGTTGTTCTACAATTACAGACTGTAGTCCATCTGTTTCTCTGCATACTTTTTAGCCCCCTTTTACCCTGTTCTTCAGTGGTCAGGACCCTCACAGAGCAGGTATTATTTGGGTAGTGAATCATTCTCAGCACAGTGGCGGTGGTGTGTTAGTTTGTGTTGCGCTGGTATGAGTGGATCAGACACAGCAGTGCTGCTTTTTTTAAAAAAACTGCTTTTTTTTGCAGTTTCTAAACACCTCAGTGTCACTGCTGGACTGAGAATAGGCCACCAACCAAAAATATCAAGCTAACAGCATCCTGTGACCACTGATGAAGAACTAGAGGATGACCAACACAAACTGTGCAGCAGCAGATGAGTCTCTGACTTTACAACCAGAAGGTGGACTTACAAGGTAGGAGTGTCTAATAGAGTGGACAGTGAGGACACAGTTTTTAAAAACTCCAGCAGCACTGCTGTGTCTGATCCACTCGCACCAGCACAACACACACTAACACACCACCACCACATCAGTGTTACTGCAGTGCTGAGAATGATTCACCACCCAAATAGTACCTGCTCTATGAGGGTCCATGGGGGTCCTGACCACTGAAGAACAGGGTAAAAGGGGGCTACAAAGTATGCAGAGAACCAGATGGACTACAGTCTGTAATTGTAGAACTACAAATTGCACCTATATAAAAACCCACGTCACTCAAATGTCTAAGCATTTATCACTGAGAGAGTGCGAATTTAAACCAGGACTGGCAGTCAGAAAAAGCATAAGTAGGTTTCTCTGGGTAAACACTGTGCTGGTCAGTGGATGTAGCTTTAGTATTCTCCTCCAAGCTTGTTGAGCCTGCATTACTGGCAGTCTGAACTTTGTGAATCAGATCAAGCACATTGTAGCCTTCACCCTCGCAGCTTGGTAGCATTGTATGATGGGTAGACTTTGCTGGAATTTACCATGACTAAATTGGAGAGAAAATTGTTTAAAATTAAAAATAAAATGCATAATGTCTACAAATAACATACTCTATTGTCTGTAGCACAGTGTAAAATATGTAGTCCTACACATTTACACATTCAAAGCAACTGTTTTGCTGAGTCGTAGTGGTTCCCCTGATTTCTGTTGCCACAGAGACGGCCCACTGAGACATGAGGGATCTTGCATGGTTAGTTCATCATTCTGGGTGTTGGCTTTCACGCTAAAGATTAACACAATCACTAGCTGCTGTAGGGTGTGACGAGGTAAAGCTGAACTGAGGAATTACAACTCAGACACAATGAGGTTTAGAAATGAAGGTGCGTGTGTTGTAAGACAGCGTTTAAATGGCAACTCAGATGCAACAGGGTTAGGCATTAAGGTGTGTGCTGTAAGATACCATTCAAATGGCAAAGGACAGTGCTCTACATTCATGTGAGTAATTGTTGCAGCCATTAAGCACCAAAGGCCTTCTGTGAACTAGGTGCATTTTGGAAGACTACACTCTTGCCAGAAAAGGTTCTGTGTACAGTCATATGCAAACTTTCAGCACCCTGGCCCAATTACATACTTTGTTGATTTTTATAGTGAAAAAGTTTGCAGACTTTGCAGCAAGTTTACAAACTTTGCAACAAGCAATTTTTTTAAAAGGCATTTTTCTGCAAATGTTAACGCACAGCTGCTTTATGTTTGATATGTCTAAAAGAAGGAAAAAAAACAGTAATTGTGGCACGTGCAAAAGTTTGGACACACTACTAAGTCAGTACTTAGCAGCAATCCCTCTGGCAGATGTTTTAACTTTGTGTACAGCTTTGTGTAGCCAGTTAGGAGTCTATCCTGTTCTTGTGTTTGGACTTTAACCCACTTTTCCTTGCAGAAAGTGCTTTGATCTTTTTTATAGCTTTCATTTTTAGATCCTCAGTCAGCTGCTTAGATGAGTTTTGCTTACAATTGTAGTACCAAATAACAGTTCTATGATAGCACAACCCCTTTTGGTGCCTTGAGTGGTCATGGTTCTATATATATATATATATATATATATATATATATATATATACTCACTATATATATATATATATATACTCACTATATATATATATATATAAAACCTTTCTTTTTAATAAAGACCCTTAGAGTGTAGTACTTAGGCTTAAATAAAATAAACGACAACTGGAACCAAGCAGAAAGTAGCCAAATGACAGTCCTCATAAATCCTGTAGAAAGTCATATGTCATAAGCTCAGTCTCAGTTAAGTCATTAAGTCAACACACAAGGCACTGGACTGTGTACTTTGTTGAGCTCAGCTGTTTAGAATGGTCATTACTCATCAATCTTTTGCTTTTGCTTTTGTGAATGAAGTCATTTCCTTGCAGAATCAATGTCAGTGAGGCCATATAGACCACAGCAAACATGATCTTATCAAGTACAGAAGGCCAGTGATAATGGAACAACAAAATATGGTACAATGCTAATATAGTCTATAAACAGAGTTTCTCAGTTCCTGCTTGGCAGTTTTGCTTTCCTGTATGTGATTCACATCATTAGCTAATGATTAAGTGCCTTTTGAGCTGGATCAGGTGTGATAGGGCAGGAAAACATGAAACTGCAGTGCAGGTGGCCTACTGGATTGTAGTTGAGAAAACTGAATTATAGAATGTAAATTTGTAGATTACTAAAATTCTACCAAAAATGAACCCAATAATGTACAAGTAAAAAAACCTAAGATAATTTTTAAATTGATCAAACAATTTGGCTAAAAAGTAGTTTTTCTTACTTATAATATTAAATTCGGTTCTTTTGGTCATGCAGGACGGATTTTCAACAAAACAATAGAAAATCCAAACTGAATTGTGAATAAAAGAATGAAAATTACATTGTACAGTACATTTCTCGTTAGTGTAATAAATGAATGGGTTAAAAAACTTAGGGTTGAACTTCAATTTAGGATTAACAAATACTGATATTCAGTATTTGTTAATAACTACAGGTATAATTAGGCAATCTAAACATGTATTGACATAACACACTATTCTATTATTCTATTATGAATATTATTATTAGTAGTATTACTGTTATTTACAACTAGAAACATACAAAGGGGTTCTTTTGAGACAACATACAGCTTGCAACAAGTAGGAGAAAAAAAACAAACATAATGTAAAACATATGCCAGGAATAACAATACATTTTCAACTGAATTATAAGAACATAAATAACATGACTTTGTTGCTTTTTTCTGAGCTGTACTGGTTAAAGTCATTAAGGAAATGTAGGCAGTTTGGCTACATATAGTATAATATAATATAATATAATGTTTCCCCATTATAATGAAAAGTTGCACACATTAGCATCAACATTATCCTGTTCAAAATAAAATATTACATCAAATATTTCAGTTTTAATTGCAGTCCCAGTTAAAAAAAATAAAAAAATAAAAAAAAATAAAAAAAAATATATATATATATATATATATATATATATATATATATACACACACCTGCACACGTTCCTAGTAAAACTGTTCCTATATCTTTGCTGCGTCCAAAACCACATACTGCTATATTACGCATGCTACACTAATGAATGGACTTCTATTGGTCGTGTACTATTTTTGATATACCATTTAGGTTTTGTACACAGCCTCGAAAGTTTCCAACACAAATATCAGTAAAACAGTCAAATGGATGTGGCTGTTAAAATACCCAGAACTATTAAATTCTGAATTAATTGAACCTCTGATAGAAAAAATGTACTCCTAGGAAATTACTTTCTATTAACATTGTTACATTCAGTCACGCGGCGCTGACGTCGGAAGACCAGCTGACCTTCACCATGACGCAAGTTCAGTGCAAGATGGCGGCGTCCTTGTGCCGATGCTCTGAGGTGAGGCTTTTCTTTCTGTACGCTAAATTTCTGCGTTATTTTGACGTTGAATTTGTTAAATAATCCAGCGATAGTGAAAAAACCCTGTCAGACTGAGAGCGGCTCAGGAGGTCGAAGCTATTCTGCATTTCTGTTTCGTTTCTGTCAGGAAATCCGCATTGCAGATGCTGTCCATTCATTTCTGCCATAAACATGACACATGAGCCGCTGTCTCTGTGTGCTGACTGTACATGCGAACACCTAATGACACTCCACTTCTGTAAGAGAAGGAGATTTATATAGAACATTTCATACACAAAGGCAATTCAATATGCTTTATATAAATAAAAGCAAATGAGGAACATTAAAAGGAGTGCTTAAGAAACAGAGAAAAAGACAGAAATCTTTTAAAAAATAAAAGAAAGTACAAAACACAGAGGGGAATTAAAACTTGAGTATTATTAAAATGAGCATCTTAAGGGTAAAATAAGGAAAAAGGGCAAGTTTTAGAGCTCAGTTTTGTTCCAGTTGTATGCAGCATAACAGCTAAATGATGTTTCATCATGTTTAGTCTGGACTCTGGGCTCTACCAGCTGATCTGAGTCCATTGGTCTGAGAGACCTACTCAGGTCATCTTTAAACATATCAGAGATGTATTCTGGGCAGCACTTTAATATGTATTGTGTAACTAACCGGAAGGCAGTGTAAAGATTTTAGAACTGGAGTAATGTGCTCTGTTCTCCTGGTTAAAACTCTAGCAGCAGCGTTCTGGATGAGCTGTCACTGTTTAATGGTCTTTTTGGGAAGTCCAGTTAAGAGACCATAACAGAAGTCCACCATGCTGGAGATAAAAGCATGGATGAGCTTCTCTAGGTGTTTTTGGGACACAAAACCCTTGATTCTGGCTTGGCTATGTTTTAAGATAATAGAAGGCTGTTATTTACTTTAAAAGTAACCTGGCTGTGTTTTGACTTCATTGATTCTCTAATACTAAGTTAACAGAACAGTAATCTGTCTTCTTTCTGTTAACCTTGTTGTGTTGAGTAAAATCTTTTTTTTAGGCAGCAAGGTTAACATACTGTTTTAACCTTTTAAGGCTGCCAGGTTTCATATTTTTAACATTCACCCCAACAAACAAGCAAAAAAATTCTAACCTCTAACTTGGTGGTCTAACATACTTAGAGGGCAGCGCTGAGTAAATTTGTTTGCTACCTTGCTGAAAAAACAGCTTAGGCCGCCACCCAGCATGGTCATGGTGGTTGACCAGAATACCAGCATCCAAAACACAACATATTCAGGTTTTCCTGGTGCCCAACTGTGCTGGTCTTTCTAGCAGGGTATGCAGTGAACTCTTATGTTGCTATGATGTATGCAGGCAATTTTTTTTTTGCTTCTATTTTCACTCTCAAGAAAGAAGTGTAAGTTGTGCTTGGTTGTACACATAATTCTGTAAAACTGTAGACAGTTGTGTGAGTGTGTGCATGTCATTTGGACAGTACACCCAGTTAATAAGCTACATGTCTTATAAACCAATATGGCCACTTTAGGCTTGTGCTTTAATAGTTACATACAGCGACCAATAAAAAGACAATTAAATTGTTAACCAAAATTATTTCTATACCATCTAATCATCTGAAATGTAATAATTGTAAGAGCCCTAATGGTCAATGATGCTTTACATGTTAAATTCTGTCCCCAACGATTTTGGTTGGCTTATGAGAAACTGTCTGTTCTCATGGATTGTTATTTTGTGCATTTTATGACTACATGATTTGTGTTTTGTGTGCATGACCCAGTTTCCCAGGGGATTACTAAGGCTTTTATAATATACATCAGAAGGGTATCTGAGTTGAACACTAAGCATTTGGCCTCAGTGATGTAAAAACTGCTTGACTTTTAATGTAAGTCAGTGGAACCAGACGAGTCATTTTGGGCTGTTTCTTTTAGTTAATTCACCATGAGACTTACACATAATATAACACATAATATATATATGAATTGACTGAAGTGAACTGTACCACCTAGTTAGTAATGTGAGTGTAATGTTTTTGTATTTTGCTTTTCAGCTCTTGCTCAGGAGAAGCAGAACTCTGTCGGCAGCATGTCTAACATTCAACACAGGCAGAGTCGTGGGGTGCCAGGCAGTGGCTGTACAGGTACATCACTGTTTTTGGTCAGTTTGCTTGACCTATTGTTGGTATGGTGTATCAGTTGGTATAGTTTGCACTCAGCAGTTGCCAGAGGATAGAAGTGGATGTACTGTTGCTTTAACATGCAAATACAGAGCTCTGAATGCAAAGTACAAGAGACTATGATTTTATGAACCAACATTTAGAAGCTTAATTTTTTTCAATTTTAGTATTATAAAGAAGTCAAAGCATTATGACTTCTGCACATTTTAATACACAATTACTGTTTATTTACTGAAATGTGGCCTGTGCAAAAGTTGTCACCTTTTACATTTTATGTGTTCTTATTTTCCAAAACTCAGCAAATAAATCAAAATTGTGCACCAAAATTTGCACAAAACATTTTGTTTGCTGTGGAGAATGTATTAATACAAAAAAGTGAACATGTAATGTACAAACAAAATATAAGGAGCATCAAAGCAGTGTTCAGTTGTCAAAATGACTCACAAATATGGGGCATTTATTTAACACGTGTCCCCTGTCTCGTTCATTTCATTCAGTTCCCATGGGACTGATTTTTAAAGACTTGCCAGGCCATTAGTTTGAGTTCTGCTTCACGCTTCATGTATCTTTGCAAGATAGTTCTTACCCAACATTGAGGTTTATTTTGGGTCACTATCTTGCTGAGTAATAAACTACCACCTAGTGATGTCCTGATGGAGTGGCATGTGTCTGAAGCATTCATTGATGGATAAGACAAAGCCTATATCCATATCCTATGGTTCTCAAAGCAGTCCACACATTTTGGCGTAATAATCTGGACCGTCTAGGGGTCCCTGAGAACTGCATTGGGAAGCCGCTTTAACGAATATGATGATCTTGGGTTCCTCCACAGTGCCGTCATGCCTCTGGAGGGCGCAAAAGTTTCCTGGGTGAGTTTTTGAACTCTCTGACGCAGGAGCTCAGCAAGAACAAGGAGATGAAGGAGAATATTCGGAAGTTCAGGGAGGAGGCCCGACGGCTGGAGGAGTCGGAGGCACTGCAGCAGGCCAGGAGGAAATATGTGAGTGGACTTGCATGACCCCTTTGCTTCCTGCTTCCTGTTCCCAGCAGGAAGTGGAGGCTAACTGCTGAGCAAGTCTCTTTTCCAGAAAGCCGCTGAGTGTGGATGATAAACAGAGGTTATAATCCTTTGTAAAAATCTGAGGACATTTAAGCGTTGTTTTTTATTTTATTTATGCAATGGTTAGTTGATATATGCAATAAGTTAAAACATAACTGTAAATAGGTTCAGTATCTACAGGCAGGGTCCTGTACATACTTTATGTAATCAGACCTTTATCAGGTTAAATCAGGTGTTCTTTTTAACCAGGATATTACTTCTTTAATAACAGAACTTTGTTGTTTTTCTGTATTTATTCTGATTTATTCTGTTGTTGTGTTTATAACCTTGTATCTACTTTTTCTGTCTTTTTCTTTTTTTTTCCATAATATTAATAACTCCAGCTGGCCTTTACACTGTGTAGAAATGTCTTTATGAATAAACAAATAGAAATGCTCCAAGAAAGGTTTTCCATCTGCTTTGAAGTTATCACTTTGGAGATTTGTGAGAATTGTGTGTGTTCTTTTTTCCTCTTTATTTTTTAGAAAAGCATTGAATCAGAAACAGCACGGACCTCCGAGGTGCTGAAGAAGACTCTGGGGTCCTTATCAGAAACAGTTAAAGGAGTGAGTGCACTAAACTTCCCCTGTGAACATGCAAATGTGATATTTTTGTGTGCCGTCATGTGACTGTATGCAAAACATTTATCTACACTTGTTAAATGCTGCTGAAGGAAACACTGACCTGGACATTTCCTCTGGTCACAAATTTCCTGATTCATCATATTATGTGCATAAACATAAAAAGATTTTCCTTTGACCCTATGAGAAGTTTATATACTCATATCCAGAGGTGGAAAATTCAGACCTAGAAAGTAAAAATCCTTTCTGGACCTGAAATTACCACCAATGCTCATATCATCATAGTGTTCTATCTGTTTAAATCTCCTTCATCTGTAGTCTCTAATATTAGTGTATCTATATGTGAGTATAATTTGTCTCCACCCGATAGCAAATAGTATAATATACACAAGTATATGTAGTATATTAGACCTATATGTAGTAGTAAAAATGTCAACACACCTGATTTGAATGTGTTTTTCATAATCTTAAAGAAATCATTTGGCAACAAATGCAACATACACAGTTTTCCACTTATCACAGAAGTAGTCAGTCAGCTAAGATATGTTTTGTGTCCAGATTTTGTGTCTTCAGTTTTTCGAAGAAAAGTCATACTCTTCTTTGAACAACAAAGATAAGTATGAGTGATGTTATTGAAAACCCTCATGCAGTTTAAGAGAAGCGTAGAGGATGAATTTACAGAAACGATTTGGGTGACCGTTGACTTCTAGGATTTTTTTTTGGCAACATTAGTCTTATAGCTCCAGCACTAAACTAAGAAATAATATTTGGACATCAAATATGCCTTGGCTGATCGACTATGCCTGTAATATGTCGAAAAGTGTATAGGTTTTCACTTTCGCCAAGCCATTCCTGATCTTAAATGGCCCATATCCTACATTTTTCATATTTTACATTTATTTAGTTAGTGTGGTTTTCTATAGAATAACAGTCATAATTCATTTTAACATAACCAATTTCTAACCTCTTTATCTCTTACAATTAAACAGGCTGTTTTTGTTACTGTGTCATTAAGACTGATATATATAAATGAGCTAAATTTTGATGTAACAAGATCGGACAAATATTTATGGGATATTCTATTAATTGCGAGTAAAAAAAGTTGTAACAAGGAAGTGGCTGTCTCCTGATCCCCCCACACTGGATGACTGGATAAACCTGGTAAATGAAATATATCTAATGGGAAAAAATACTTTTTCTATTAGACTGAAGATGACAAAATTTGTAAAATTATGGTTAAAATGGGTTAACTGTATGAAGTCTGTAAGACCAGAGTTTGTAGAGATACAATGTGAGTGAGTACTCCCTCTTTTTTTTTTTTCTTTCCCTCCCTTTTTCTTACCTGACCCTTTTATTTTTTACCCCAGGCATCTTCTCAGGGTTTAATGTATATAGTTATTTGTTTTCTTTTATAGAATGTCAAAAAGAATTGAAAATATTTTTTAAAGAATAAAAAAGACAGAGAGGTATAGGTCACAATGTGTATGAAAGGATATATAATTGGAAATAAACACGTGCATGGAATTGTATGTTGTCATTGCATGCTTTCGAATGTCTCCCCTGGAAAAAATACCAAAAAAAAAAAAATATATATATATATATATATATATAATATATATACATATAATATATATATATATTCATATATATTCCATATATATATATATATATATATAAAATATATATATATTCATATATATATTCATATATATATATATATATATATATATATATATATATATATATATATATATATTTATATATGGAAAATAATAAGAATAAGGAAAGCCTTTCTATGAGTATATTTGTCTAAAGCTTTGACTGGTACTGTCTCAGTGTTCAGTGTTTGGTGAAGGCTGTACTGGTTTGTGTCATGCCTCACTGATCTGTGCTTTTGCAGCGCTTTGAGGACGTGGGTCGTACTGACCTTGGTAAGAAGATAAAAGAGGGTGTGGAAGAGGCAGCCAAAACAGCTCGATCCTCAGCGGAGTCAGTGTCCAAGAGCAGTGAAGCGCTGGGGAAGACCAGTGCCTTCAGGGTCATTTCACAGGTCAGTAAACTGCTTCAGTCCACAGTACCTGGCATCATCATTACCTACACATATGCTAATTCAGAATTCATGACTATTTATTGACTGGTCAGTGGTGAATCATATCCATATAGACCAGTGTTCCACAAGTGCATGAACCTGCAAGGTAAAATAGAATTAAAAGTCAGTTCAGCTTGACATTTATGTTAACTTTCTAATCTTTAAAAACAAAAAATAAAAGCTGCACTATGTAAGTATTGGGGATATGGGGACCTCTTTGGTGGAAATGTGTAATTGCACACAGTGTGTGGAAGAACGTTTTGTAATGCCTGATAATAATAAGTGCATTGAAAAAGTATTCAAAGAGAACTCTGTCAAAACATCCTACAAGAAGTGTAAGTGAATGATCTACTCTAGTCATATCTTTATAATGTTAATTTTGCATTTGATGGAGCAATGTGCATAGACACTCACATGCACTGTTTCTTTTCTTCAGAACAGATGGATTTTGCTGATCATCAGATTCTTAGTGTTAATTTTGAAACTCCTTTTCATGTTTCAGTCAGGTCCTGAAGAATAAAATCATGTCCCACAGTTATTTCCTGCCCAAGTATCCTGTTTCACATGTAAATACATCACATTAAAGAAGAAAAATGTGTTTTGATTTCCAAGAAAGAATGTAATGGTGACCTGTGCTTATATAGTTCCACATGCTCAGACAGAGAGCACTGTCTGCACTTAAAGAAAAAGAACAGTTATCTGCTGTATGACTGTCTGACTGTCCGACCATCAGGAGGCACAAGATCATGAGTTCACACCCAGCAGTGGCTCAGCTCTCTGTGGTCAGAAGCCTGAGAGGGGGAAGCCCTCACCACCCTCATGCTGGGGGCACTGTGTGGTGGGGGAGTTATATCCTGTAGCAGTGACTACACTGGGAAATGGAACTGAGTAAAAATCCAACACAAAATTCTATATAGTAAAGCAATTTTAGTTTCTAAGGAGCCAACTACATTCACTGAGTAAGTGCAACTGTAATGTATTAATGTAATTAAATGTATAATGTAATTAAATAACTTAAATAAAAGTAAAATAAAAAAAAATATGTTTTTGTGTATATATACACACACTTGCTGGGCATGGTGACCTTAGGCTCATGTACTGCTGCTCCAGTGCGTCCCATTCTCTTGGCAATGCTATTCTATGGAGACTATACAAGTTGTGTGCACTTGAACACCTGTGTCACTAATAGGTACACCTTGAAGTAGCAGATTTCACTAATCAGAAGGAGTGTCTGAATACTTGTGGACGTGTAATGTAGCTATAATATGCAATATAATGATTCCAAGGGTTCTGTGGATTTGAAGACAGAATGCAACAATGTCCCTGTGACTGCTAAATCATTCATCTCAAATTGTGTGATTAGAGCATGGAGACGGTGAAGAAGGAGATGGATGACGCAACACAGGGTGGGCCATACCGTGCTCCATCCCAACTAAGGAAGAGAAGCGAGTTCTCCTTTAAAGGAGCCGAGAACCAGGCCAGAGTTTTTGAAGCCAATGAGTAAGCCTGATTCTGAGTCCTGTCTGCTTCTCCTACATACCTCTAAACCTACTATCACAGACTAGATTTAGATTGTGGGCACAGCTTTACTTATTCTGTTAAAACAAAAATAATATTCCTCTTACAAAGAAGTACACACTCTGAGGCCACTTGAGGCTCTTGGTGAAGTGATTTAAGTGTTTGAGTATTTCCCTTTATTCTAATGTTGCTTGTTGTTTTACTTGGCAAGACTCCACATCAGATGTGCGCTTGTGCTGGATCCTGTCATTTTTGTTTTGTCTGATATATCCACACTGCGTAGGAAACAAATGCGATGTGCCACTATACAGTAAAGCCATAAGTGATTAGCTTCTAAGACCAATGTAGCAGTGTAGTGGATAATTCAACATTAGCATGTAGTGCATGTTGAGCATTAGGAACGTTAGCATGTAGTACACATTGGTCAATACTTAAAGGGGCATTTTGGACTAAAACTAGCATGTTATTTATCATGTGGTATTCTGTTGCACAGCATTGTGTCCCTCAGCCTCATTAGTTTGAAAGAATTCACAATTTTGTTTCCTTTTTGTAAGTGATGCACCAATATGGAAATCTAAGAGGGCATAACTGGCCTCACTGACCCTGGGTGGGTAGGATGACCCTCCCTCTCCCCATTGCGCAGTGCTAGCTAACACGATCATTCACTGATGAAACAATTTATATGTAGTGTTCTCCTCCAAATGCGTTAAGCTGTCCAATGACATTGTGTTAGCGGCAGTTTGAAAAGATGCGGTGACATTTCACCTGACTAGCCCTCCGGCTTCTTTATGCATTAGATATTTAGTGGAGGGGAAAAAACAAGTATCTGCCCCAAAGCAATTCCTCCCACCTTCAAGATACATCATCACAAGGGTGTTTTTAGTCTTTAAACTGCAAACTCTAGAAACCTGTGGCACCACTGTAATAATTTGTTTTTGAGTAACTTGTTCCTTGTAGCTTATGTCTGATATCTGTGTGGGGTTTTTTTTACAGAGATGCCACCGGCGTTGTCCTGCACAAAGACTCAAAGTGGTACCAACAGTGGAAGGACTTCAAGGACAATAATGTGGTGTTAAACCGTAAGAGCAAATATTTTACTTTTCCTTATCAGTTTCTGTTCTGATGCTCTGCAGCACAAAAACAATTGTTTCAGACCTACACCAGAGGGCGCCAAGCTCACGTTTTTAGAAATACAGCACTTGCACTGTGTTCTTGACTGGATGTCATGATGCCTCTATCTGTCTGTCTTCCTATAAAGGCTTCTTTGAGATGAAGATGAAATATGATGAAAGTGACAATGCCTTCGTCAGAGCCTCGCGTGCCCTTACAGATAAAGTCTCAGACATCTTTGGTAAACTGATTGCATTCTTTTCTTGTTTTTATTTTTTAAAAATAGAAATAACTACACACGTGCTAATGTTATAATGTAAATACTGAAGTTCTGAGGCTAATGTAGTTAAATAGAAGCTTGTAACCAACAATCATAGTGCTAACTGCATTTTTTTTTGCTGGGGGGGGGGGGCGTGGGATCAGTTTAATACCCATTTAAGGAAAGTCCTGGCTTTCAATAAAATGAGCCATTTAGATTGCCGTGTAAGCGTAAAAAGCGATTTTTTGCTGATTGTTTAGGTCTCCCCCTGTTCAAAGAGATAGGAGCCTGGTTGTGTATGGTCAGTTATGGAAATAACTGCCCAGCGGCAGTGCCAAGATGGCCGTCAGGTGGACAAGTGCTATAAGGACTTTTGTTGTGTAGTGTGTGATCCCCAAGATTTAGTCGCCCAAAAAATCTGCACAAACCAGTCAGATGGTGTGAGATGCTCAATCATTTTATATTCTTTTAGGACCCATGTGTCAAACAGATCTGACACAATCCTATCCGGCCCACAGAAAAATTTTAATTTTCTATTAATATTAGTCTGTTCATGTAATATTTTAAGATCTACTACAAGTGCCTGTATTTTACTGTTGAAGTTTTTGCATATTTTGAATGAACAACGGCCAGTTAGGGTTACAGCACAACACTAATTAAAAATGAAATAAAAATGTTTTTTTCCTCTGGCCCATGGATTTATTTAGATTTTCTAATATGTCCCTTTTACTCAATGAGTTTGACACCCCTGTTTTAGGACTTTAAAAGTCTTGTAGTGTGCCCAAGGCTTTAGTCGTCACAGTTGCCTCAGACTGCTTTGGGTTGTTAAGTAACTTGCCTGTATGATTTATGACACTGTTATCTATGAAAATGAACAGAGTACAGAGAACGTTCTAGCTTTAGATTGCTGCTAAAGTTTTTAACTATACAATGTACCTTTGTCCATTTTGTAAACTGTCCTTTGATTTTTCACCAATATGTTCATTTAATGTTCAGAAGACTTCTACAGTGTTTACTATTTGTTAATGTCTGTTTAATTATTATGCTTCATTTATCAGGTGGTCTCTTCTCCAAAACGGAGATGTCTGAGGTGCTAACAGAGATCCTGAGAGCTGATCCTAACTTTGATAAAGACTCCTTCCTCCGCCAATGTGAAAATGACATCATTCCAAATATCTTAGAGGTAATATGTCTCCTGTGTATGTCACTGGTTACCCTCACATATGAGCAGGCGTTAATTCTTTTGCCACAGTGCTGAGGGCAGACAGAAATTAAACATACTTAGGGTACTTTAAGATTTTTCCTTTACTTAACATATATAATGCACACTTAATAATGCTAATGCTAATGTTACTAATTAATGAATGATTGTGTTTAAATCTCTTTCCCTGTCCTCAGGCAATAATCAGAGGGGAGCTGGAGGTTCTTAAAGACTGGTGCTATGAAGCTGTAAGTAATCATTTCTGGTGCCTTTCGTTTGCTATTTGCTGTTTGTTTCCTGTGCCAGTTCATGCAGTTGATCTGTGTCCCTCCTGATGTCATCAACTTCATTTGCTTTTTGGAAAAAAAAACAAACAATTTCCTACTCTGGCTGCACAATTCGGATCAGTTTAGTCCAGTTTAATTCAATTGAGTTCAGTTCAGTTACGTTCAGTTGAACTCTGTTCACCTCTGTTTGGTTAAATTGGTTTCATTTTTGTCTGACTGTGGCCCATGTCACTTGTGGCCCTCTTCCCTTTCTGCATACAGACATATAGTCAGCTTGCACACCCTATTAAGCAAGCCATAGCCATGGGTCTGCAGTTCCAGTCCAAGATTTTGGACATCGACAACATTGATGTGAGTAAAGAAATTGACTAGAAAGCTGCTTACGTTCACCTGAATGCAACAATTTGCGATAATAAAGTCTTTAGTATCTGATTACATATAGCTTTGTGATTGTTTGTAGCTTTCAGATCTTAAGTGGAAAGACTTTGCAGCAAATGGCAATAGTTTAATAGATTTCTATACATGATTGCTTAACTGGATATTGTGATCCATGTTGTTACTGATAAATTGCTTTTGCACTATCGACATATAAAACAAAGGTACTATATATATGGTATATATATATGTACACACTTGTATTCCTGCTCTCTGTTATTCCATGTGGATGTTCCTCAGCTGGCGATGGGTAAGATCATGGAGCAAGGGCCCGTACTGATCATCACCTTCCAGGCCCAGGTCGTCATGGTGATTCGAAGCCCTAAAGGGGAAGTGGTAGAGGGAGATCCTGTGAGTGGGTTTATTTCTCAAACTCTTAACCCTTAAGGCTGAAGTACACCAGTAAGGCAAACAAAAACAAACACGAGCGTTTGCTATGTGCACAATACGCATGTTTAACTGCTGAAGACTCTATTCTGTTCTCTTCCCACTCACTCTAGTTCATTTGTCAGTTCTGTTTCTGAAGAGCAACTGCAAATGTTAGAATGGTTGTATTTGTGTGCTTTTGTTTGTTTTTGATCTATCAGTGTAAGTTTTAGAAGTTTAGAATTGTTATTGATTTGCAATGACATTCGACTTTCTCTAATTATTTAGAAATAAATTACGTAGTTGTGTAGTCACAATTCACATTCCATTTACATGTATTGACAGGTTAGAGTCTATTTGTTTCCATATCAAGTAAATGACAAATGGCAGCCGTCTAACTGATGGCTCTTTTGTGGCATGAACGATCATCTGTGATGCCACAGCCATCCCTGAGAGTCCAAGAGAACATAATTAGCCTCACTCTCTATGGGTGGGTAGGATGGCCCTCACTCTCCCCCCATTACTCAGCTAGCCTACATGGTCCTCTTTTCACTGGTGAAACAGAATTGGCAATTAGTGTTCTCCTCCAAGCGTGATGAGCTGTCAAATTATGTTACATTAGCAGCAGCTTAAAAAGATGTGGTGGCACTTCACATGACTAGAGAAAGCATGTGCTAGGCTCCACCCTCCCAGCCTGGCAGCATCAGAAAAAAAAGACAAGACAAAAACATAGTTTTAATTTCTGTGAAAAAAATGACTATATGCACAATCATATATTCATCACAATCATCACATTTAAGTCATAATAAAATGTCTCCTTTTCCACTTACACAAACACAAACACAAACACGTGTTGATTAAAAGTGTAGAATATTTTGAAAGAATTTCTCTGCTTGTTTCAATGTGAATAATTAGTTGAAAATCACAAAGTGCTTTATTTATAGCCAACAGCAACTGGAGCTTGTAAGGGATAAACATAAGAAAAATATGTTGAATCCTTTATTGAGGCACTGGCTAAGGTGTTGATACATATGAGACATGAGCCAGAAGCCATTACATCAAGTTTTCTAATAATCAGTTCATGTCCAAATCATGTACAAGTCGTGAATGTTGTAAATGGCTTTGTAAACTTTAGCTATGCTGAAGTTAAAAGGCCTGCTGCTATGAAATTGAAGCCCAAGCCTGACCCATGCCCAGAGCTTCGAGACCTGACCAGGCTCGCCTTGTACTGCTATATTTTAAATCAAACACACTAACAAGCTAACAGAGATGTATTTACAGATTTACATTGTTAGATATTAGTTACATTATTATTAAGTGCTTGAGTTGAGTGACAGAAAATGGCTTGCTTTAATAAACTGCTGTTTGTATATGTACATTGTACACTAACAGTATTTATTATCAGTGTTTTTTGTGAAATTGCTAATTGTAACTGCCAGAGAACAGTATCCACCCTCCTCTGATCAGCTGTTAGCCCTGCTGCACTGAAGTTCTTCTCACTATTGTTGCTTCTTGCTTAGGACACTTCAGACGAATTTAACAAGCAAGCAGAAAGATCCACTGAGAGAGAAAAAGAAAGTGCAAGAAAGAGAAAGCGCCAGAGAGAAAATGTGTGAGAGTGGGCAAAATCTACTACATAAAAAGTTGCTCATTTAAAAACAAGCAGCCCAACCTGAGAAAACATTATTTTAGCTCTGTCAGGCTGGGAATGGACAGCAGACCTCTAACTCTGTGACAAAAATGACACTCTTTACTGACACCATGCTCCCCTGTTCTGTGTGCGTGTAGGAGAAGGTGTTGAGGATGATGTATGTGTGGGCGCTGTGTAGGGACCAGGAGGAGCTCAACCCACATGCTGCCTGGAGACTACTAGACATGTCAGCATCCAGCACTGAGCAAGTGCTCTGAGAGAAACCGCCTTGTGTGTAAAGCCAGGCATTGTGAGTTCACAGAGGTTCTTCACGTTGGACAGAATACTCAGCTTCTTTACATGAAATCAAAGCCGCCCTCTACAAACAATCTGAGACTGACCGACACAGTTTCTCCCTAATGCCTGTGCTGAGCGGATGAGCTGTCCATGCTTCACCCACAAATGTGTTCTTTCTTAGCAGTGTTTGCAATGTTGAACTAGTTTTACAGAACATTTTAATATTAATGTTAAATTACTTATTAAGAAAATAACAATAAAAAAATTATTTAGTATAATGTATTAATTATATTAATATTTATTCAGTGACAAATCAGTAGACAAATAATGTTAATATTTGAGTAATTATATTGGGTAATGGTCATTTTTAATGTATTAATTGACTTATCCATGCTCCGCCAACAGATCTGTTCTTTTGCAGGAGCTATTGTGAGGTTGGACAGGTTTTACAGAACGTTGGACAAAAATCCCACTCAACTTGAGTAAATATTGTAGGTTTTTCATAGTGGAAATTACATATGTTTATTTGAGTACTTATTTTTAAAATATGCTATTCATTTCAAATGACATTTATTTTATGTGTGTGTGAAATGTCATACTGTTAGTGTAGATTGACTGAACTGTTTTATGTAACTGAGCTATCTAGCATGCTGGCAAGCTCTATATCATTGGTATTTTAGCCTAGTTTTGATCAGCTAAAACATCATAGTCCAGCTCGACAGCATAGCATCTTAAACTGGAAACTCAGTGGTGTTTATATGCAAAGATTTTTGCCAATCCGACTGAATACATTCTTATTATAGATTAAGACTGAGGTGTTTTATGAACTCTACTCAACAGTCTGAGGCAAATCTCCGTTTACATGCGCACTACAAGTAATCTGATTGAAATTTACGCGCATGTGTAGAGAACCACTTAGTGTAGACGTTACCATGACAACGAGCATCACGTGAGTCCAATCAGAGTGAGACGAGCAGCAGTAAGTAGCTCTTGTGTTTGTAATAACTTTAAATCTATGTCAGACTCAGGAAAACGGACTTCACATGTACTTATTAAAGGAGGGTGAGACGTGCGAGACATACGCTGGACGCTCGTCCCACCGCCGTCTTTTAAAGTTTAAAGCATAAACTTCGTCTTCTCTGCAGAGTTTCTGCTCCCGCCATGTTGAACGTTATAAACCTTCGCTATGACGCGACGCACATGCGCAGAACGTCCTTAAACTCTCCGATTGGGAATGTAATCGGACACAGATGTTTACGTGGTTATTATTCTTCTGTTTAATTGATTGTTTACAGGATTACCTACCTCGTTCAGTCGGATAGAAACTGTATTCCGAATGGCCTCAATCGGACTAGTCTGTTCCGTTTGAGGTGTATACGTGCACATATTGTATTCTGCTTGAGCTATTAGTCAGATTATTAACGGATTATTAGGATGCATGTAAACGTGGCTAATGTTATGAGACTGTTAGAGACTCAAAACAGTAAACATTTCAGTGTTTTTGTTTTTTTGTTTTTTTTTAGTTTTGCCTCGGTTTCTCATTTTAATTAATGAGATTTTTGCCAGTGTTTTGTAAAGCCTGTTGTAACCCAGGAATAATAGCTACAAAATTTGTGAACAGAGCATGGAGAGGTCAAATATACAGTCGTATGCAAAAGTTTGGGCACCCTTGTCAAATTATGTTCTCACGTTTTGTAAGTAAACTTAAGTTGCACATCCTCTACAGAGAACACACTTCTGCACATTCTACTGCACAATTAGTGTTTATTTGCTGAATTTAACATTAGAAAAAGCAAATAGAAATTGAGCACTAAAAGTTTGTTGTGCACTAAAGGTTTGTTCTCTATAGAGTGTATTATCTTATCTTCACTGACAAAATCAACAAAACATGTCATTTGACCTGAGTTGTTTAAACACTGTGTTTTGATTTACGTAAGTGGGACGACATGAATTAGAAGGTCTAGTGAATTAGGACAGTCATTAACCTCAGCAGATATCGCTGTACTTCTGATCCACTGAATACAGTCACTTATTACATAGTATTACTGCATATTCCTATGCACTGTAACCAGTTGAATGCTGCTAAACACCAACTTTAACTGAGAAGGAGCATCTTTGTGAATTTGATTGGTAAAAAAGAGCTTTTATGTTGTGATGCGCCAAAATTAGCATCAAATAAGAGTCAGGAAACATGCAAGAGTAAGCAAAGCATGCAAGATGAATTTTTTATGGGCTGACTAGCTGAATAGAACACTAGAAGAAGCTACAGTATTCTTGTGTATATTATTATGGTTTATGGACTAAGAGTTTAACTTTGATGTGAGAGGTCACAATTTTAAATCAAATATAGGATACAAAACCTACTGAATAAATAACTGTTAATATGTTTTGGATAAAACAATCCTGGAATAGGGACATATTTTAAATTATACATATTTACATATACATTCAGCTTCTAAGCTTCAAGTTAAGTCTTTGCTAACTGTGAAATGTGATGTCTCCAAAAAGTTCAGAGTAATAAAATCTGTCATTCAAGCTGCTTAAGGAGTTTGAGGGTCATCTCAGCTTCATAATAGGTTATTTTATTATTCTGATGAAACGGTTGTTGAGAAAACCCTCATGTTTTTTCTTTTTTGAGGCAGCTTTGATGAATGGCCAAATTTTTGTGGCCTTTTCCAAGTGATGAAGTGACAGTAATGCACTGTTGACAATAGTGTTGAATAACTGTTTCATTCCTCTTTGCCATGCAGTGTTTTGGCATATTACATATTGAGTTGTAAATGACTGTATTCCATAATATACTATATTGCTTAGTGACTGTTGAAGTGAAGAATGCAAGACTGGTTCAGTTCATTGAAGTATAGTTTTTGGTACAGTTTTTATTTTATATACTATAAAAAAACATCTCTGTTCTGAATCTATCTGTCTTGTTACTGTTTTTAAAAGTGAATTCCACAGATTTTTTAACATTTCTACATAATTAAATGGTTACGATGAAAACAAAGACAGTGGTTTGATGTGAAATGCTCCATTCTGGAAAAAAACTGTAACAGTGGTAGTGATGGGAACCAGACATCTGAATCGTTTAATGCCTCTAAAAGCTCCCTCACAGAAAGTTCTTATGTGAAATGGTTATGAATACTCTGCATAAGGCCCGAGACTATATTTCACGGTAGTGTTGAGAAGGTTTTGGCCTAAACCTATAAATTTAAATCCATTATTGGTGGAGAGCCCCAGGCATTGTAAGACTAAATAGAGCCCAGAGAAACTGTATTTTTTTTTATGTACTACTATTATACCATTATCAACACACAGGCACACATATGCATTCAGTGGTGCTTTTGGACAGTAAATAAAATGACTGTATTTACATTGTAGACATGGCGACACCTGGTTCCTACCAACACTGTTATAAAGAAATCTGAGTGTATTTATTTCTCTACAGTGAGCCATTTCACATCAGTCTGAATTGTTTACATCTCAGTTATTTAGTCATGTTTACATTTTTAAAGGTGGAATTTAATTCACCACACAGGTTGTGTGTTTTTGCTGTTAATGACTGAAGAAGGACCTCTAGTTATGGAATGTGGAAGTGCATCGTTGCGAGTGCTGTGTGACCTGCACACCCAGCCTGGTAGAGCACTGATGGCTGTTTAGTTTATTAGTCGTTTATGGACACAGATCATAATGTAAGTCATTTTATATGTTCATTATTGACTACCATGTTGTAACTATAATGAAAATGTTTTTTTATTTATGTATGGATTTGCAAAAAGTAAATGAAATTCTAAAGTGTGCAGAAGTGTTTTTTTTTTGGAGGGGGAGTGGGGGGAGTGGGTAAAGCTGGTGTGTTTGTGTATCATTACCAATAAAGGGTCCCTTTGCTGTGAAGAGGGGTTTGACCTTCTGACCTCTGTCACACCACATTCATGGTAAATAGCTACATTTCCACATTCCAAAGCTACGTTGTCACTTTCTGTACAAACTGCAAGCGATAGCATGAAAATCCTTTACAAAATATTTGCAATTTTTACTGTCCAGCACCAAACTCTCATAAGTCTTATAAGTTTAGTTTATTGTTAGAAAACAGTTGTATAGTTCTATCGCTGATTAGTAATCAAAATATTATATTATATATATATATATATATATATATATGAGAGAGAGAGATGCAGAAACATTTTCTTGTGCAAATTCGTAGAGGATTAGCAATCATGGTGAAGGTTAAGGAGGCTCCTTAAGTTCAAGGGCAACATTATTAAGCAGCACTTGAATGAAGAGCCCAAAGACATTAAGCATCCCTGTCAGCACAACTACTTAGATACTATGCATGTGGAAAGTTCATGCAACCACAACTAATCATCAAGATTTCTCGAAGACTAATGATCAGAGACAGAGACCAGTTACACAGTTATAATAGAACAATAAGCAATGAACGGCACCTCAATCATCACTGTTCCTACAATCCACGCAAAACTCACAGAGATGTGCATCTAAAATTTGTTAATAAGCATTTAGACAAATCATAACTTGTTTGGAACAATGTTCTCTGGTCAGACAAAACAAATATAGAACTCTTTGGCAATAATTCAATTTCAGGTTGCACTTATGATCCCAAGAACACCATCCCCACAGTGAAGTATGAAGGTGGGAGCATCATGACATGGATCTGCTTTTCTGCAGACAGTTAAGGGCATTAGACATCATCTGATGATCTGATGATAACTGATGATGTGATGTACCGGGACATATTAGAAAAGAATTTAATCTCATTATCCAAGAAACTGAATCTGGGGAGAAGATGGATGTTTCAACAAGACAGTGACCCCAAACATATAGCCAAAACAACTTCAGATTGGTTTCTGAAGAAGGTGAAGGTAGTTGCATGGCCTAGCCCATCCCATTGAAAATTTACGGAGGATTTTAATTGTGAGTGCATTGGAGAGGCCTTTGTAACCTAGGGAAATTGAAGATGGTTTACCAAGAGGAATGGGCCCAAACTGAACCACAATGCTGCAAAAAAAAAAGTGATTACTTCTTACCATAGATGTCTGCAAGCTGTAATTGCTAGTAATGACTTTGCAACAAAGTATTAGTAATGTAACGATGTCACAAAGCAGCCCAAGTGAATAAGCAAAGGGCAACAGTGGCAAGAAAAACTCCCTAAGAGCAAGATGAAAAAACTTTGATAGGAACCAAGACTTAAAAGGGGAACCCATCCTCGTCTGGTTTTCTGTTATTTGTATTGGGAAATGTAAAAATTGTCCTTGGTAGCTGACTGTAT